TTTTTTTTTTTTTTTTTTTTTTTGTTGAAAGATAAATATTTTCTAGAGTTATTTATTAGTAGATATTGCCAGTTAATCACATTTATTTATTCACTATTGATTTTTAAAGTATTTTAAAATTTATAAAAATTGAGCTTACCTCAAGTTTTATTTATTTATTTATTTTTTATAATGTGATGTTTGATTATAAAGAATAAATTAAATAAATGTGACGATGTGTTGAATGAGTATATGATCTTTATTTGGAAAGATATCAAATGAATATTTTGAAGATATGGTTGAGAATGAACGGCTTTATTCCCGTGGCATAAGCATTAGGATCAACTTTAATTTTATTTAGAATTAAACTAAACAAAAAGTTACCTAAATTTATAAGAAATATGAAGAAAGTTCTGGCTAATTTTTAATTTACTAGCTTCAACTCCTCCGGCAAAATCTTCGAGTTAAGGTTTGTAAAAATCTCTAAAGAAATTTTTTAATAAATTAGAAAAAATATTTAGGGAGAATTCCCATAGACAGACAAGATGCTTTTTGACTCATCCAATAGTCTTATTTACAAGAATATGAGTCGAATGTATCTAATTTGTTAAGATATAACTTATTTAAATTATATTTATATGTCATAACATATCCAAATATACATTTAACTAATTTAAATCACCCAAGTAGATATGGGGTTGCACTTTTAGGCAGCATGTTATGTCCATTAATATATTCATTATAAATGAGTGATTCTTCATGTGTTGTTCGTAATTACAGCTGGGTCAAAAGTCGTTTGTAACGACCTTAAATTTCTACGTACCTAGAGTTGCTACCATCATCATAACGTAATCATTTTGTGCAGAAATAAGTGTTTAAACTTTATCATAAAACATAAACTTCATCTTAAAACACTGACATGGACTTACTTGTTTGAAAGTATTTTTAAAACGACACAACGAAATACTAAATGGAATAAATAAACATTAAAAGTAAATGTCATATTCTAACCTAACTCTAAGAAAATAAATATAACTACCCTATGCATGTGTCATGATCTCGAGATGCGACGTCATCGGTCGTACAGGGATGCCTTGTGTCATAATCGTCATTTCTTGATAGCAGATTTGGCGATTGTGCAGAACTCAATCCTAGCATTGAGTGAGTCAAACCAATTTCGGATCACGTTGGCTACGGTCGGACAACGTGTATTTAAACCTCAGGCCTCGATTTGAAGAGAAGATTTTAGAAAGCGAGGGAGAGAGGTTTTATAAAGAGAGTTTTGAAAGCAAGAATGAGAGAGAGATTGAGAGTGGTGTTATATAGCATGCAAGCAAAAAGGCAACAATAACGGCTTAAACAGTATATAACTTTTCGGGTAGGGAGAATTTGACAACTAGTCGCATTCCCCTATAGTACATTTTGAGGCATTTCATGTCTACAAGGCGTAGCCATGATTTCGCAGAAACGTCATACTCTTAAAGAAACCAAGAAAGAAATAATACAACATGAAAGCAATAAAAGAAAGCAGTAAAGTAGTACAAGGCAAAGAGTTTCGGTGTGTCATGGGCATGCGACCATGGGCAACAAGCCTTTGACAAGCTTGACTGTGACATCCTCCAGCACTTAATTGGTTGACGTCCCTGTCAACTGTCTCATTTCATCGAACTCTGCAATCTGAGTTGCGGCTGTCTTCAGGTCATCGGCACGTTCCCAGTTGATTTCTTCTTCTGGAAGTCCTTTCCACTTAACTAAAAATTCTTGTATGTTGCGCTTTGGTTTGCCAATGTGACGGGTTCGCTCAGCTAAGATCTCTTCTACTTCCTTTTTACTCGTGTCCTTCAGCGTCACTGGTGGTCGTGTCACTTGGTTGTGTTGATTGTTGTCGTCATCTGGATGATACGGTTTTAGGTTACTTACATGGATGACGGGTGAATTCTCATCCATGTAGTAGTTGGAGACGATATGAAGTCCTTTTGACTTTCTCAATGACTTCAATTGGTCCCTCATATTTTCGCACTAGTCACTAGTCCCGATTCCCATGAAATCTAAATTGTTCTGATCTCAGCTTGATCATAACTTGGTCACCAGCCTGAAACTCTAATGATCTTCATTTTTGGTCTACCCACTTCTTCATTCTTCGTGAGGCTTCCTCCAACTACGCGCGTGTTTCAGAGTTTTGTTTCCCCTCCTTGGTGAAGTTGTACGCTTAAGGTCTTCTACCAGCATATGGGTGGTCAATAACATGGGGCATAAGTCGTTGTCTACCACATACTATTTCAAAAGGAGTTTTTCCTGTCGACGAGTTTTGTTGACTATTGAAGCTAAACTGAGCAACGTCACGCATTTTTGCCCAGTTCTTTTGTCGCGCATCAGTGAAATGACGTAAGAACTCCTAAAGCATAATATTGTACCTTTCAGTTTGTCCGTCAGTTTGAGGGTGATAACTTGAAGAGACATTTAGGCTCGACTCCAATAGCTTGAACAACTCGGTCCAAAAGGTCTCTTTGAATCTCGGATCGTGATCACTGATAATGCTAGTGGGAATTTCCCACAACTTGACTACGTGTCGAAAGAATAGTTGTGCGGTCGCTTTAGTAGAGCATGACTTGGGAGTTGGGATGAATGTGACATATTTGGAGAACCTGTCGACGACGACCAAGGTGGACTCCATTCTCCTACCTTGGGGAGGTGTGTGATGAAGTCTAGAGAAACACTTTCCCATGGTCGGGAAGGGACCGGTAAAGATTCTTCTAGTCCCGCAATTTTGTTTCGTTCAACCTTGTCTTGTTGGCAGATAAGACAAGTCTTTGTAAACTGTGTCGCATCGTTAGGGACGTCGACCAATAGTACCCCCTATTTAGAAGGGCATAGGTTCTCTGCCACCCGTTGTGACATTCTTTAAGTAAGAGTCTCCTCATGTTTCTCGAACAGGGAACGTAAAGACGATTTTTCTTACTGAAGAGTAAATTATCCTCTACCAAAACTAGCGAGCGGGTCTTTGGCTAGGTGTTCTTCAATACTTTCTCGTATTGTTTCACTCAGCTTACTTGCTTGTGGATGAGCTAACATGCACAAGGTCGCATGTTCGCTCTTCCAAATTAAGGCATTTGTAGGTTGATTTGCTTTACCTGGCCTGTGTTGGAATTGAAAGTCGAATTCAGCCACACATTCTTGCCAACGCGCTGTTCTCTTTGACTGAGCGAATTTGAGGAAATTGTTACGGAGGAAAAAGTTGAATAAATTGTTGAGAGAAGAAAATAACGGAAAAACAAAGAGAGATAATATTTGCACTGAAGACCCGATAATATTATTTCTCATTCAGTTGAATATTTAAATAACAAATTTAATCCTAAATTGAAAAGAATTGGACAACTTGATTAAAGCGCTTCCACTCGAGGTGGACTTCCCACTCACTTTAATTGCGTGGGTTTAACAGGAAAATAGTTACCTAAAATTTTTTAACTAGGAATGATTTTCAACTTAGGGATTTATCTAACAATCTCCTCCTAAAGTCGTATGGTATATATCTAC